TTAGGGTTCAAGGCTTAGGGTTTGGGGTTTAGGGTTCAGGGTTTAGGGTTTGGGGTTTAGGGTTCAGGGTTTTCGGGGATTAGGGTTAATCGCTCGAAGCTTTTGGTGTTTTTGTGGTGGGTGTATTTTGGGCCCTTAAGCCAAAATTAAAAACAACACAACACACCCTAAACCCTTCTTTTGGGTCTTTTTGGTGGCTTTTGTGTGCACTACAAGAAAGAACCCCCACATAGAAACCCTAAACCCTGTAACCCTGTGTGGGGGAGCTCCGATCGAGGTTGGGACGCACCCGAACGTCCTGAGGCTGCTTGAGAGCTATCAGGCCGGGCCCAAACGGTTCTCGGCTCCATCTCTTACAGCTTTGGAATAAGGGTTAGCAACAATAGTAGCCAGCAACAACAATAACAACATCAAGAGCATTAATAATAGTAATAACAATAATTAATGATGGAGCAGGGCTTCTATAAGGGTTCTGCAGCAAGGGTTTAGAGCTCCGTCTGATACGGCTCTGGGAGAAGTTCTAAAAAGGGCAAGATGCTGTTTTATAAGGGTTTGATGGCGATTTTCTTGGGCGCTACTAGAGTTCCACAGGCAAGCAAAGGACTGGAAGCCTTGCGATCATTCTCCCAGTGCGCGGAGAGGGGTGAACTGCAACCGAACAACGCGGAAGCCACCAAAGACCTAGGTGCCCTCATTCCGCTGTTCTGCCAGGGCTTTGGATCACAGGATGTCTTGGTCCTCGAATACTGCGACGGCTCGACGCACTAGCCCCGGCTCTGGCACTTTCGCTGTCTGTTCTGTAAAACGTGTGCCAGAAAGCGTTCGTGGTTAAGGAGAGGGGGTTCCGGTGGTATGCTTCGAGCATTCTATATAGGTGTTTCTCGCGGCTCTGGAGGGCCTCACCATGCATTTTTGTTTGCATGTCTGCGGCTGCTATCCGAGGCTCTACGACCTCTACGCGAGGGAACATCCGAAGGTCCTACTGTGGGAGGGGAGAGGGGGGGTTAGCAACGCTGCGATCACTTATGCTTGGACAAGTGCTTCGCGCTGACATTGCGCGAGAGCAAAGACCTTGAAGTGCCTCCCAAACATTCAAAGGTCCTATGTACCGTTATGAGGGATACTGCCCTAACTCGGAATAAGACTTCCTAGTATAGACTTAGAGAAACCCTGCCTTCTACTATATAAAGTACATAGGACCCTTTGGGACAATCAAGGCTGCCCGAGAAAAAGGGGGAGACCAGGAGCGCGGCAGGGAGCACCTGGCAACTTCCAGGCCTTAAGTCTGGGACATTTTCAGGTG